GTCTACAGTCGTGAGTGTCGAAATGCTCTCAGAAGCGTACTCCGGGGTAGTCCTGAGTTTCGATGGTGCGACCATAACTTCAACGAGGAAGGGCATCTGTGGATGCATTCTGTGGCAGCTACCTGAATGAAAAGTTTTGGATGCTCGAAGGTACATTCTGGATGGAGTCACCGTCAACGACGCGGAATACTTCGGGGTGCATAAAGGGTTTGCAATGGCTTTGGAGGAGGAATTCAGGACATAGTCGTGGTGGGTGACTCGATAATTGTGCTTCAACAAGTCCAAGGCATGATTGATTGTACCCTGCCTAACCTCGAAATGAGACTAACCGCATGCGAAACCCTGAAAAAAACATTTCCAGACCGTCCGATTGGTAGAAATGAAGCGCGAGTTCAACCAGGCCGCTGATTACCCGACCCCGAAGACTCTCGTGCAAGGTGAATCCTGGACTGTTCAGGATGATCTCGAGAAACGATACCTAGAAGTAGTGTCTAAGATTCGCGAGAGGTTGGGGAAGCCGTTGGAAGGCACCGATACTCGATTTCACAGTGGAGGTCCCCTACAAGACTCTGATGAAGAAGATGGCAATTCAGGAACGAGACATGATCCTGGTCCTGAATGTGCTCTATATCTCCTGCCACCCGAGTCATGGCTGTACGCACGAGATCATGAGCTCAAGAAGCTGACGACGACGAGGTTTCGCCCATGGGACCACTCGAATTTCAGGCCGAAGGCTAGAGGCGAATTAAGGTTCACCAAGAGGATGATGAGTATCTAGCAGAGATAAGGGCGTTCCTAAATAACGGCCTGGACAGGTTCTCATCCACACGTCTGAAGAAAATCAGCAAGGTTGCAGATCTGTTTGTTCTGGATGACCGAGGAATATTGTACAGACTTCCACACTCTGTTAGCGGAAGACCACGACGTGCATAATCTGAGACATGGTAGTTTCGAGTTCACTTCGGGAAGACATTTTGCACCATGATTTTCAAGGTGGACATCAAGGGATCACCCGGACCCATGAGACGTTACGTACCGAATTCTACTGGCTCGGTATGTATGCGGACGTTCAACATTTTGTGAAGGAATGTGTTTACTGTGCCAGTGGAATAGGGGTTCCCCGAATGGTGGACCTTCGCCAGGAAATATTCAACCACGGTATCCTTTTAAGGCAGTATCTATGGACTTCGTGACCCACATGCCAGAGTTGGCCAGAGGGAATACTTTCCTCTTGTTCTTTCAAGACATGTTTTCAGGATATGTGATGTGTAAACCCATGTCGTTTAATACCGCTCAAGATGTGGCTGAGACTTATGAGGAACAAGTGTTCCAGAGATTTGGGGCGTCTTCCATGATACGGCATGATCAGGACCCGTGGTTCATGAGTGAAATATTCACAAGGTTCCGAGAACTCTTAGGTAGTCGACAACGTGTTACACTCGGGTACCCTCCACAATCAAATGGACAATACCCTACAGCACATCTTGACATGGCTTACACCACCCAAGCGGGTCAGGTCCTCATATATCCACAATCAAATGGACAACATGAGAGATCTGTACAAACGGTCATTCGGAGTATTCGAGCATACGTCGCCGAGATGGATCAGCACGAATGGGATGATCACGCTGAGCGACCGATGTACGCCCTGAATGTCTCGTTCGACGCGACTAGGTTGGACACCCCTTTCTATTTAGTTATTGGTTGGGATGCCCGAAGTACGGTTTCGGCAATGTTGGGACCAAAACCTTCGAGGGTTCCTGAACGTAGTGCATATGAGTGGCGACGGAATTTACAGCCTGAATATAGTTACGCACTCGCTTGTGCTGAGGATCTCCAAAAGAAGGCTAAGAGGATGCGCTCGGATGAACAAACCCAAAAGTGGGTGGAACTTTCCGATAGGGTCAAGGCTGGTTTTGAGAAGGGGGACTCCATCTGGTTATACATCCCGAAAGTTCAGACTGGATTGAGCTGGAAGCTAGCTCACATGTGACACGGGCCATTCAGGATCGATGAAATTCGGGATGAATTCCGTGTGAGGCTGAAGGTGAAAGATACAGGTTATCGTGTTAACCCTTGGGTCGACTCATACCGAGGGTAGTTTTCCCAAAGAGACCAACAGTTGAGGTTGACGTCGCAGATAATGATGATTTCGCTGCAGCGCTATTGCCTGAAGACAGTTAGGAGCCTAATAGCTCGAAGACGGGTTTGAAGTGGAGTCAATTCTGGATGTACGATGGGCGAAACGCAACCGAACTGCGAGGCGATCTCGAGCATACCTCGTCAAATGTAAGGGGTATGATGACCCAGAGTGGATTCCGGTGACACAGCTCAATTTTGGATCACTACTGTATGAATTCAACAAAGGAACGCGAGCACGAACTCGTTTTCAGGAGATGCAGGCTGGGGATGACCATGCAAGAGTGTAGCCAACCCGAATGGCATTACCTGAACGATATTAGACCATGGAATTATGTGAACTAATTATGATTTTGTTTGATTCGTGATAAAGTACTATGGAGATATTCAAGATGCTGAATGTGGGATTTACTTGACGACTAAGAGTGTTGAAATGGATACGAAAACGGTGTGAAACGGATCGGATATGGTGCGAGGGATAAGAAAGTCAGTGAACCTCGAAGATGTGAATGACAGTTGTATTCTGGATGTTAACGCTAATGCTCTGACATGCAATACGTAAAATTGATTCTGGAGGAATCAATTAGTCGATATCCATGGTGACGCGATCTTCTCCGACGAGCGCTGTGAACCTTCCAGGAGTTTCGATGGATAGTCCTCCGGGAGATGATTGATTCGGTCTTCATCCGAAGCACAAGTGTTGCACTAAAAACGTGCTGGCTCTTGATCATCTAATAGCTCCATCTGCTCATTCAGGGTGTAGCGAGTGCTGTCGTCCTTGACGTGCGACTGATGCATCAATATCCAGTGACAGCTCATGGCAGGGATGGTCAAAGAACCAGGCTCATCCAGAATCGTTTCCTCAAGACCAGCATCGACACGATCATCCAGGAGTTTCTTGTACTCCTTCTTGGCTTTGTCACACTCGTCCTTACGCTCGCGGTGAAGTTCCACAGAGTAAGGATCGTCAGTCTCCGACTCGATAAATACCAAATGCCCGAACCACCAAATCACACGACGATGCACATGCATGAAGACCACTATGGCATCCAGGGATTCACGAACAACGACTTTCAAGTTGTCCCGTACGTGAAGGATCAGGAACTTAGAGCGATCTTCGAACATGACGTCCCAAGGGTTCGTGCCCATAAGCTACTTGAATGCGACTGAATCCCAGTGTTCTCGTAGCGCTTGAACAGCTTCGTCCTTGGCCAAATTCGGAACGTAATCTGAGAATCCGAATAACTGTGTTATGGCGTTGTCCATGCCAGGAGGAAACTTCATCAAGACCCCATGTTGGCACCACGAGAGAATACCTTGACGCAACACTTCGACGATCCATTTCTCAGAGTCGCTCAGGGAGCCGTAACTCTTGCGTGCCAGAGCCGTTTGCTTTCGTTCTTGTCCTGGACGCGACTTCTTGCCGTTGCCGGACTTGGCGCATTTTTTGGGTAGCGATGACGCACGCTGGGGTTTGCTCTTGGATGACGAATCCGAAGTGGTGTTACGACCACGCTTCTACTGTCGGGGAGGGGTAGTACGGCGCTGAGGTTTGTTCTGACTATCGTCGCCTGGGGAGAAGGTCACATCGCGCTCTTCATCCTCTTCCTCTTCCGTGACACTGTCATATAGCTCTGCCATAATTTCCACAGCGTCATCCTGGACGTCCTTACGCAAATTAAGTCAACGAGTGGGAACTTCACCGGAAGTGAGAGTCTTGGCAAGCTTGGACTCAGCCTCTTTGTAACATCAACATGGAACGTACTTGACCCAAGGAGTTTTGTCGAGACTTTTCGAGTAGATGACGCGCACCAGCAAGGAAATGAGATGTCGAGCATCCAGGTGCGAGTGAATTTCAGCATCGGCCCGAGCCGCAGCAAGAGCCTCATTGTGAGGCATGTGTGACCGCATGAGTTCCTGGATATCCCCACGAAGCTTGTCTCAAATGACGGGTTGAGTCAAGCCCTGACGTGCCTTGGTGACAGAGAGTTGTCGGGTTGTCGTGGGATCCAGGGTGCCGGTCGAACTCGGGGTGTAAATACTGGGTCGAAGCTGGAAATCCGTGAGAACCTTGGGCTTAGATCCACCGAACAAGTTGCGTTGAATCTTAGCTGGGGTACACTCAGTAGAGGTTGGTTTCATGAGGTCCACCGTTGAAAATTTCACGGTAACCTGAGGCTTGGGTACCTCAGAAACCTTGGATTCCTCATCGTCACTCTCCACTACTCGTAAGCGCCCGGGTCGGCATCGAATTCATCAGCCGCATTGATTTGGATTTGCGTCTTCCAGGCGTCAGGTGGAAGCGAGCCATCTTTGAACTTCTCCAGCAGTGCCTTCAGGCGCGGCCTATTGCCGTTATGACGATTCCTGACGTTCATCACACGACCGACCTTGAACGTTCCCCCGCGTAATCGATCCTCAAGTTGTCGATTGACCAAGCGATAGTCCTCAAGCTGATGTTGAAATTCGGCATTCTCATCGCGAAACACTTGTTCTTGGCGGCCGTGCTCTTCTGTGGCCCGTGAAAATCATGGTCACTTTCGGAGAGCCAACTCTGAGCCTGCTCCAAAATCTCAGCCACTTGCTGGTTGAAAGCCTTTTCGAGGAGCGCGAAGTCTTGACGCGCGCTGCGAGCATCGTACGAAGAATTCCCCAATTCGAGCGTGGTCTTGGAGGTACCCAGGGGCAAGCAACCTGAGAGACACGGTGCCGGTCCAACATGCGTTTTAGTAGTGTGGGTATCCCGAATACTTTGCGAACTAAACCTTGAGGCTCGTTCTCCCGCAAGAGCGACACCAATTCGCGTTGTGCTGGAATGCCAGTAACAAATTTTCGGAAGTCACATGGGCTGAGCTCCACCGACGCATCCTGAGGTACGAACAGCTCTCCCTGAGCGTCTTGGTCCTCGCTAAGCAACTTCGACAAGTCGGCCCTGTCCTGGGCACTCAAGCGTTAGATCTCGACGAGATTCTCGAGACCGCCACAGCCGGCGCGTAGGAGCACCGTACCCAGACGATCGACGTCGAAGGCTGGTACACCAACGAATCGCGTGGTGGAGCAAGGCGAATATGTTGAAGACAATGTGATTTGAACGGGAGGAACCTTACCTACTACCGAGGGAGTAGCAGCAACCATGGAATGAGCCTTGGTGTCGGCCGCATCCAACTCCGTGAGGAACATCGATTCGGCGAGCCACGTCGACAGCAAGGTTTGTGCCGCGTTACGCGTGTTGAAGTCATCAACAGCCGAGATACTAGGCCGGTCTGAGCCAGTAGTGGGCCCACGCAGCAAGTCTGCCACTTAAAGACGTTTAGCAAGGGCGCCACTATCTTGATACGTCTTACCGTGATCTTGAGCCGTCTGACAGGCGTGTCCATCACTGGCGCGTCTGTTGTCGGAGGGTCGTCACGTGATGTGTCACCACCTGGCGCGCTAATCCGAGAAGGCCGGTGTAATTGTGGAGTGGTCCTTGGTGGTGTGCTCGCTGGCGTGTGCGTGGGCGAAGACGACTGCGGAAGCTTGGAGTCTGTGTTTGAAGGTATTTTGCCGAATGTCTGAGGTTTCGGTTACGTTGTTAGCAGAGGCTTCCAGAACGAATAAGATACGACAGTAGGAATTTCTTGGATCTGGTGGGGACGAAGAAAGGTCTCGAAATTTGGTAGCCTTTTGACAATTCTGCAATTTGGCGTGCTCTTACGTACAGGGCGTCTGCGTTCACGATGTGTGTCCATGGTCTGTCACTTCGGAGGTTATTCTCTCAGTGAAAGCCCAGCGCGCAAAGGGGCGGTTGTGGCGATGCAACCTGAAATTCAGGTGGCCTCCCCAGCTGCCCTAACTGGAGAGCCGAAACTGGGAATATCGAACGTGATGACATTCTCTTTGGGAGATGAACGGAGGATGCTCCGTGAACATAAATTCCAACTTCCGGTCACCCGAGCCGAGTGACCAAACACCGTTGTTCCAGGAAGTCCTGGCGTGGAGGAGCCCGAAAAGATGACCGATACTTTCGGACGGGCCAGTAGCGATTGAGGGACTTATGTTTGAGGCAATATGGCGCCCCGGAGTCCCTAGCCGCTGGACGTCCTGAATTGCGGGAGTGTGTCGCGGAAAATAAATCTTACGAACGGCTTGACAAGATGGATCGGTAGAGATTGAGGGACTTCTGTTCGAGGAGATATGGAGCCCCGGGGTCCCTGGTCGCTGGACATCCTGAATTGCGAGAGTGTGTCCCGAATGGAGACATCACGTACAACCCGAATGGAATACAGCCCGAATGTCGTGCAGGACGAGTCAACTGATGACGTGATGGCCCAAGGTACAAGACGCGCCATACGCCAGTGCAGGCAAAGATCGAGTTTTGCCATCTAGTGCGCATATGGTTCGCAGAAACCGTGTTACTAGGGGCACCTCGTCGTAGAAGAACTGTGGGAGACAACCTAAGGGGTCAAGGATTCAAGGCCCAACCACACCAAGGACTGACTACGACCACGCGGGACGCGTGAAGATTCTCAACCTCGTTCAAGCTAAGGTAACTCGGGGACCGGTGTGCTTGAACACTTGGGCTGATCCAGTTATTTCATTTTCCAAGTTGCCTCTGGACACCCTCAAGTGTCCAGTTGCATTTCATATTACCCTGCGATTTTAGGAGGATTATAGCGATCTCCCCCTGGATCTTTATTGCTGATTGCTGTTTGAACGGAAGGTACTGATATTGATTCTCCTGTCTTAGTACAGGAGTGGTGCGCGAAGGGCATCCCGAAATCTACCTGTCTTCGGGTGTGTCTAATCACTGACAGGCTGTATATTTGCATAACGAACCCTGTGTATATCATCTAGGTCATTTGTATTCGTTTA